ATTTTTTTTTAATTTCCTTTCAAAGGGATACAAAAGGGTTTCGTTATCGTCAACAAATAGGTGAAGAGCCGTTGTAATGAAGTACAGTGACATTTTTCAATACGCGCCCTCGCCGGAAACAAAAAGCGAAACAAAGCGCTCGAGCGAATTGAGTCATTACACGGTGACAAACAAATTCCGGGGGACCCGTTGAAATTTGCATATAAAACGGAAAGCTGTACACGTGACGAATTGCTAAGCGCTTCAGCGCTGCCCCGGGTGCGATTGTGAGCAATTGCTGGAAAATATTTTTTTATTAGCCTGTAATAGTCTCGCAGTTAGTTACAATTCTTAAGCGCATAGAATCTCACAAAATCAAGTTGCGAAATTGATGAAACCGCAAAAAGTTTCTTCAGCTTTATTACCCTGGGCGATCTTTGAACACCTAGAAGTGTGTTTTATTTTTAACTAGCCACCCGCCCCGGCTTCGCACGGTTGTAATGTAGATATTGAATTTCTCGGTTTTTCTCTACTATAATTTGCATGTAACATATACCTTCGCTTGAATCACTCAATCATTTGCTGAAAACCACAATAAAATCCGTTGCATAGTTTAAAAGATTTAGGCGTACAAACATCGGGGGCAACTTTGTTTTACATTATGTAATAATATTATAATGATAAAAATTAAATACATCTTAAAAATTATATCTAGTAAAACGCTATAAGCAAACTTAAATAACATTTAAATGATAAACTAATACAAAAAATAAACTAGAACAATGAAACTAAAACTAAAAACCTGAAAAAAAAAATGTATTAACTAAAATATATTATTAAAAGGAGTCCCGTTAGGCAAGGTTCCGAAGATCTGGCAGCGTTAACCCTTTAAATAGCTAGACTAATTCTTTATTACTATGTATTAAAGATAATCACACAGCCAATAAAATAATTATTTACTAAATGAAAAACGATAAAAGGATTGGAACGATGAAGATTCAAGACGAGATGATGAAGACTTGTGGCAGCTAGGAGGTCTCTAAGAAACGATAAAATGCTGTTAATAATGTTCAAACGTTTTTCATAAATATTCGAATATCATAACTTACATTTGGGAAACGACCTTGCTGGTCATACCCGTAAATCCATCGATTTCCATTTCTCATTCGTTTTATTTATCTAGGCCATTAGTTTATATTAAGTTACGACAACAGCAATATATCTGTCAGTTTTTGTAACCAACCGCATTAACAAAAGGCTCAGTTTGAAACTAGATAAATGTTAAACTGTAGAGAAATAATTGGATGTGTTTTGGAATTCCCCGATTAATGTCGGTAGACGTAAAAAAATTATAACCACTTTTTACGAACGAAAACCAAAACCGACTTCAAATATCTCGCTCTGTTTCATTTTATAATTGATTTTCAGGAGTTCCCAAAATATCTTCGGAGCCCATGACTCAATACCAATTAAATTATATATATTATTATATGGGACCACATGGGAAGCACCAGCTATCAAATAAAAAAAAAGAATCATCAACATCGGTTCGCTCAACCAAAAGTTATGAGGTAACAAACATACAAAAAAATACAGTCGGATTGAGAGCCTCCTCGTTTTGAAGTCGGTTAAAACGGCCACACGTAATAAATATCAAATAATAACGACGCAGATTAGTCATCATAATCATTTCAGCCTGTTCGAGTCCACTGCTGAACATAGGCCTCCCCCATAGACTGCCATGAAGTACGATCCTGAGCCACCTGCATCCATCGACTTCCCGCACATTTGCACAGGTCGTCACTCCATCTAGTGGGGGGTCGTCCCACACTGCGATGGCCAGTACGAGGCTGCCACTCGAGAACCTTTCTTCCCCAACGGTTATCGGTTCTACGAGCTATATGGCCGGCACATCGCCACTTCAGCTTGCTAATCCTCTGAGCTATGTCGGTTATCTTAGTTCTACTGCGGATGTCTTCGTTACGAAGATTAGTATTTACAAAAATTAGATAATAATTAAAAATACAATGTTAGATACACTACTTATATTTGTGTTTATGTATGACTTAAAAAAGAGAAAAAAGCAAATTAAATAGTTTTACTTTTGATGTAATACTAGAAAAATTGATTAAATAATAGTATAAAAAATAAGGCATTTATTTTTATATTTTCTGTAATTCGTGTTATTCGTAAGAATTTAAAGAATACCGCCAAGTACCATCGACACCACCTTGATGGTTGGCGGTCCACCACTGAGCGTTTTTCGCGAATTTTCTACCACGCACAACTACTTTGTGGAACGAGTTGTCGCCAGCGGTATTTCCAGACCGATACGACTTAAGGACCTTCAAGAAGAGAGCCTACTCCTACCTTAAAGGCCGGCAACGCAATTGCGACTCAATCGAAGTTGCAGATGTCCATGGGCGGCGGTGATCGCTTACCATCAGGTGACCCGCATGCTCGTTTGCCTCCTTTTCCCATAAAAAAAAAAGAATACGTTTATGATGGAGGAGTTGTGTCGGGTTGGTACCCGACCTAGGTGGGGGATGGTTATGACAAGCTATCTGAAACATAGAACCTTAGTGGGGTGTTCTAATGAGTATGCCAGTAATAAAATAGTATATATCCATTTAAGTTCTGTGTACTTTTTAATCAATACTATAATTAATGAAACTTCGGGATAGAAAATTGATAGAAATTAAAGGCAAGAACGGGCACACACTTAAAATTTAAATATTAGAATAAATCAGATTGATATTAGAATAATATTGTTAGGGTGGAAGCATGAACTATCTAACTTAGGTAACCTTTAGAAATCTGCTCATCGGCCATTGAAATTTCAATAAAACCAAGTTAGAATAACAACGTAAGTAGAATTAAAACAAGCATTAAAAGTTGGAAGTTTTCTCAAGGCCCATTAAAAATTACTAGAATACGAGCCAAAGGGTTGAATTGTTTGTAAAACCTTGAGAGTGGGTTTGACCTTAGTCTGTATTTTCCATAGCCAGTGGTTCCCCGAACCACTTATAGTTGTATTTTATTCCTTTTTAACCTCTACGAAGGAAATTTTGTATATAACGGTGAAATATATTAAGATAGGGCGAAAACGAGCGTTCTGGACCCATGTGCAGTGACCCGTCTATAGTATAAAATGGCATTATAAAATATCAGCATGGAGTTTTTTATTCAAGGATATTGATAAAATAATAATATACTAGATCAGGTTAGGGATTTTATTTTAGTTTTATGATTTAGAATCTATTTCAGTATTATATTAAATTTTAACAAATTGGGATTTCTGTACCGAACTTTTCAAAAATTAAAACTATAAAAGATATCTAATTTATTCTCAATTGATAGAATCAAATTCAAATTGAAATATCTTTACTCAATATAGAAGCATTACACTTAATGATTGTCTAAGCACTATCACTTCGGAATCGGAAAAAGAAAAGCCACTGACCTGAGAAGAACCGGCGAAATAAACTCAGAATAAGAAATAATCAGTCAAGGGGTTAATCTAAATTATTTTAACGTAGTACATACATCGTGAGTCATCAAATAAAATCAAATCATTTATTCGTCGAAGTAAGAAATATACATTTGATCTATAGATAGACATTTCTTAAATAGTTTCTTAATGAGGTTCCTATAACGGGACATATTTTATTCTAATTTAAATTCTTTGTAATCAGCAGAAAAAATTGTTTTTTCTACAAATATTAATGTTTTATCTTAAGTGGAGAATTTATTCCTATACAATTTTAAAGTTTTCAATTGATTTTAATAATCTAAGGATGGAGAATTATTTGTAATATTCCTTTACACTCATATTTTTAACTCGTTTTTACACCCTATGTGTAAATTGAAATGGGAATAACGTAAACAAACACAGAACAAAAGTTGAAGATGAATCCGAAATTTGAATAATACGATTTGGCCATTGTGAAAACATCGAGCGGAATGTGAAACAACACTGTTACCTCGACGTCACGCGTTCGACCTTTGGGAGTTTGCACAACAATAAATCGGTGATATTGTTTTTCGCTGTTTTCGAATCGAAGAATGGTCCGTGGGGACGGGACGCTATCAAAAGTTCGTTCTAAAATAATGAAGAATGATGTTGTTCGATGGCCTTTTATCATGCAAAAAATTTGCAAATAAAGATTCGTGGGTCTGTTTGCCTCCTTACACTCTGGACGCCTCGGCGACTGAACGTATTTAGAAATTATATGGAGATGACGTAATGTATAGGAATCCATACAGAATTAACGTATAAAGTAACTTTCAACAACTAATAATGTGGTTCAGTGTTTTTTTACATAATTATATACATTTACGACCTCGTTCGTTATACCTGTTCAATTCAAAAAATAAATTAGCACAAATCATCGCAATCGGTGCGATTATAAGAAAAAAAAAAAAAGTTAAACCTTGAAATTTTACCTTTTTTTATGTGAAAAGTTACCAAAAGAACAGACGGTTCACCTGTTGGTAAGTGAATTCCGCCGCCCATGGACATTTGCAACACCCGAGGGTCACAGATGCGTTGACAACCTTTTGAAACTTGGGCTTCGGCTACCTGGCTCACCAGGCGAAACGCGAAAGTATTTGTCATACTTCCACTTTACGCCGGACTTCTGCGAGGTCGTGGTACTTACCCGGACGAGCCTGCCCATTCGTGCAGCCGAGGCTGCTGCGTGGTCCTTCACCGTCACTTCAGTACACAGCTCTACCAAATACACAGCTTTGCCAAATTAAGGCGAAGTACAGTAAAAACCAATATATGTACCACTGCTGGGCTAAGGCGGAATTCATATCATTCATCTTTGAAATATTTAATTAATTATAATGGTATGTTAATATAACGATATAAATGTAATAAAATTAACTAAGAATGAAACTCATCGACTCTTTTTTATTGTTGCTGATTATTATGACATTATATACGATTATTATGACATTATGATTATTATGTCTTATATACTAGCCCCTTAAGCTTGACAGGCATTTTTAGGTCACAGATTACGCCAGTAAGTAACCCTCCATTTAAGCCAGGCTGCTGGAATTCGGTGCTGAATGCTGACGTCCACTTCCCCCGAACTGTGCAACATGGTGCCCAAATATTTATATAGGTCGCATCTGACGACTTGTTGGCCATCGATGGTAAGTGGGCCGCTTTCGACAGTATTTGGATCATTGCACACCATGTATTGGGTCTTCGCAACACTCAGCACTAGGCCACCTGCTCTTAACTGCCGCTTCCACTCTTCTAGGGTTTTTTCCAGTTCCTCACGTGATGTTGTGGATACAGCTACATCATCAGCGTATACAAAAGTCGAGGAAGCAAGAGATTGAGCATGTTCCGTAAGTGCATCCATAACCAAGCAAAAGACGTAAGGGCTGAGCACAGAACCTTGGTGTACCCCTTCCGTAACAGCTATTGGCTTTGTATGCCCCACCGTAGTCCTTACTACTGATCGCACATTCTCATACATGTCGGCTATGATGACGAAGTACCTTTCTGGAATGTTTTTCTTTCGAAGACTCCACCAAATTTACGGTGGTAGGGCCACGCAGCAGCCTCGGCTGTTGCACGAATGGGCTGGCCCGTCCGGGTAAGTACCACGACCGCACAGAAGACTGGCGTAAAGTGAAAGTATGACAAATACTTTCGCGTTTCGTCTGGTGAGTGAGGTAGCCGGAGCCCAATTTTCAAAAGGTTGTCAACGCCTCTGTGACCCTCGGGTGTGGCAGATGTCCATGGGCGGCGGTATTAACTTAACATCAGGTGACCCGTCTGCTCGTTTGACAACTTTTCGCATAAAAAAATAAAAAAAATAGTCTGCCTAGGTATGCGATCGAATGCCTTTTCCATATCAAGACAGGCGATGTATAATGGCTGCTGTTTTGCTCTATACTCCTGCAAATTGGTCTGCAATCGTCGGTTAGCTATTTATCATCATTTAAAATTAAAATTTTCGTATTCACGTTTACTCGTTGAAAAAATGTGAAATACCTGATCGCTTATGAGTGAATTGATGCAGTAACTCAGTGTCTTATGAAGAATATATATCTCACTTAGCGGAAACAATTGGTCGTATTTAAATGAGCCATTTACGACGCTAAAACATTGCTAAGAATGTCTGGAATGAACGACGAATCTTCTATCCAAATGATTTATGTTAGCGGAAATGTTATGTTGTATGTTTCTAAAAGCATTCAGTAATTAATTGCACAGAGTAACGTCTAAACTTTAGCAAATAATTTTATTCTTTATGTGTAGCGTTTCCTATTTTTTGTATTATATTCTTGTTGGTTATTGTAAATTTTATTGTAAACTATATAAATTCCATCTAAGTAGGCCATCTAACGAGTATAATATAAGAAAATGGACAAATAAAACTCGTGACACACGTGTGCACTGGAAAATCGAGTTTGGGAATTTTCTAGACGAAGGTATACCGGGGTCACGTTGAGGTCATAAAACTGGCCCTACTTATTTTTATTGTACCCCTCTATGACATTGACCGCACAAAGACTAGAGTTTTCGTTCAGAAATTCTACGCAAACAACGTAGACAGCATAAATAATATTTTATTTGGTCTAATAATTTTTTACAAAATTACTGCTTAGTTTCTTTTCCTCCTTCCTTAGAAACATTCTAAAATTCTTCTATCATATTATTTATGATGGAAGAATTTTAGAATGTTTCGAGTAAAACTAGTATTTAAATTATATTTATATAACAACAAATTATTATTATTACATAGCTCGCCTCATACTCTAATCAAAGTTTATCCGCAAAAGAATGTCAGTTTAATATAGAGAGAACAAAGTTAATATTAGTACACATATATTAGATGTAAATATACGTTTAAATTAAATGTTAATGTTGTTATAATGCCCCTCCGGGTAAGTACCACGACCTCACAGAAGACTGGCGTAAAGTGAAAGTATGACAAATACTTTCGCGTTTCGTCTGGTGAGTGAGGTAGCCGGAGCCCAATTTTCAAAAGGTTGTCAACGCATCTGTAACCCTCGGGTGTGGCAGATGTCCATGGGCGGCGGTATTCACTTAACATCAGGTGAACCGTCTGCTCGTTTGACAACATTTTGCATAAAATAAATAATAAATCTTGGTCCTCAATGTATTCTTGGACATTATAGTAGGCCCTTGCCATTAAGGTAGCTTTTACAAACTGTTTGAAATTACGTAAATAGTTCATAATTTTATTTACATTTTTTAACAAGCATAAAATTATATGAGATATTTTAATTAACATAAATTGAAACGGAAAATGATATAAAATACTATGAAAGCGTAGTAATCTAATTTAATATAAATTTATTTACGATCCATTATAGCTTTAACACCGTAACGCATTTCATGAAGTGAAATAAACTTAAGAGGGAGATAAAATTGTAACCAAATTAAATTAAATTAGCCTTTTACATTCCAAAAATTCGGGCCAGTGTCCAGTGAATAATAAGAAGAGGCTTTGCAGTATGCATGAATAAATTAATGATATGATAATCTTGTAAGTACACAAGGCATAAATGTAGAAGTTTTTTTTTGGATACAAAGTATTTTTTTTGGAAAATAAGCTATTCTGGTGGCGATACTATACTATTTGTCAGCTGATAAAACACTTGAATTTCTAATTGAATCTAAGAAATCAATACATTTGTCTAATGCTTGTAATGGTAAAGGTATACTTACGTAGCTTATAGTGATTTTTGATACGGTGGGAGGTGGATATTTTAGAATGCCTGGCGTAGAGAGTCTGAATTTTGAGCTGTTAAAACGCCTTTGTTGGCCACTTTTATTACGCTGGGAGGTCGATCGTGGTGCAAATATAGTGTGTATGAACGTCGAGAGATGTTATAAATCATCACAGATGCGAGACAATGATGATTGGCGGAAGGACGTCAATTTTCTTAAAACAGAAAAATCACCGGAATTAAAGACGCCACTTTACACCACGAATCCTTCATCCCTACCATTAAGCCGTGGCGATTGATGAAGTGATATAAGATATAACAAATTATCTCTTATAGTAGCGGTATCTCAAAATTTTAATTGAACGACTTAATGATTCAAAAGATGGTTGTTTTATATTAGGGCGTTATGCTTGAAATCTGCTGGACGTGCCCTTCGAATGCAGAAGAGAAGTAAAAACAATTGGGAGCAGCAATAAAAAAACAGGAGAGAGGTATAAAAAACGATGGTATGAGGAATCCACGAAGACATTAGAAGATCTCCAGGGGTTGGTGTGCGTAGCAATCGTTAAAATAAGAGGTGTTTATGGGCCACAAAAGGTTTTAGAGAAAAAAACCTTAAGATTCGTGCTTTGCAGGAAGAAAAAGAATATAATGAACAGTATAATTTGCTTCGCGTACGCATCTTTTAATTGTTACATTCTTAATAATCATTAAACAAAAAAATAAAGTCTGAGCGTGCGTACGGATATATATGATTTATATCGATTGTTAATATTTTCTTCTCAAATAATGTTTAAAATTGAAAAGAATCAAATAGCAAAATATAATTCATGTTGCCATCATAAAAAGATATTTTATTATTATGAGGACATCCTTGCGTGTACCAAAAACTTAGTCAGAGGTTCCAGCAATGTTGAAAAAAGAATAATGTTCGTGAACAACTTACAAACTTTACTTATACTTAAGTTATATTCACATAAGTGAGATAAGCGTATATGACAAGTCATAACCGATGGATCGTAAAAAAATATTATGTTTATAGTTCGTGAATGTAATAAAGTTATAGTAAGCATGAAATTACAGTTTCGTCAATAGACTCGGCTAAGCCTGAACGATAACTTCTTGGACTAAGGCATATTAAATTATCTCGTACTTAAACACAGAGACTTCGTGAAGGTATTTTTCATGGGGCTCTTTTCACTCGCTTCTATTTTAATCGGATTTATGATTCGCAAGGGAGTCAAATGGATGGAGTAAATGATAGGAAACAAATAATAAATAATAATAATAAATAATTTAGGACAATGTAAATTTATATACGTTTATTTTTATCCATAATATTTATTTTATATATGCAATATATATCTGTATTTTTATTTTTATTTATAAACCCAACCAGACGAGAAAACAAACGAATATCCCCCCAATAAATAATTTAGGACACATTTTTACACAACGTTCTCTAGTCTCAAACTAAGCAACGCTTGTACTATGGGTACTATATAACTGATAAACATACTTAAGCATACTTTTCTTTTGCAAATAAATACATACTATAAATATATAAACACTGTGTTGATCACACTTTCCAGAAGTGAGGATCGAACCCACATGTTTCACAGGAGCATTGCTGGCCATGGTACTCTTTCCATGATGAATCGACACATTTATCTAATCGTAGGTATCTAGGCGTGGCTGAACCAGAGTGATAATCTAATCAATATCATGATGTAATTTCCGAAAAGCCTTAGGGCAAAATCAGTTGTTGTCTTGCAAAAAATTATATATATCTTGAAAAGGAATTCACATAGGAATTCAGTCTACTTTTGCTCAAAAATAACTTTTACTCATTTTTTCTGATTTTTACTCAAAAATAATTGAAGATAACGGATAGTGCTTCTCTGGTTCCGTCTTGTTTATTCAAGTATCCTTAATAATTAGACAGTCTTTAAAGACGACCCTTTTGCAAATTAAGCTAAGTGAATTTATTCCATTACTAGAAAACTCTTTTGATTCCTTCTCTTATCATCATACTCCAGCTCTGGTACTTGCTATTATTCCATTTTATGTCATTCTATCCATCTACTTTTAATCATAATCCTATTGGTTATCGGTTGGTAGCTCGTAGCTACACGATCGGCCGTTTGCCACATCAGCTTACCAATTTTCTAAGCTATGTCAGTTACCTTTGCTGTACTGTTGATATCTGCATTGCGATTATATTTAACGATAGTATTTAATTGTTAAAAGGTGCTATTGTCGATTTGTATAAAACAAAAGCTTAGCTGAGCTAACTCTTTCTACAAACGATTAATTTACAGTTTACAAATCAATGGAATAGTAGCTTAGCTCTCGATAGTTTTGTAATAAAATTAATATATTGGCGATCGTATCTCTCAGTTTATCGCTTTCTGTATTCACACAGTTATGCTGTGCGTTGAAACCGTGCAAGCGTACGGGAATTAACGACAAACCGGCTCCGTATTTATCCGCCACAAGGCGCGGCCGACCGCAATTTATGTGGCGATTGATAAAACAGCGCGAAAGCGTTTTCGAAATGGAAACCGCAACCAAATGTTGTCGACAGTTGTTACGAAGTTTATGAGTGTTCTGATCTTTAATTTAAAATATTGGGTTACAAGCGAAACGCCACTAT